GAAGAGTATGCAGTACTCAAGAGCTGAATATCCATTCTTCAGTTCAAAATCTAGCCGTTTGCTTAGTTTCGAAAACTGGCCTCTAGTTATGCGACAGAAACCTGAAGATCTTGCCGAAGCTGGTTTCTTTTATACTGGCCATGCAGACGGGACCAAGTGTTTCCATTGTGGTGGTGGTTTAAAAGATTGGGAAGATGATGATGATCCTTGGCAGCAGCATGTTCAGTGGTTTAGTCAGTGTGCTTATGTAAAATTTCAACTCGAACAGTGTTTTGTATTAGATTAAATAGAAGATTTATAAAGAAATAAAAAAAATATATTGCATACAATTTGTTTTATTTAATTTTATAACGTTTCACATAGTTACATACACACAAAATGCATTACACATAACACATAAAATCTAACACACAACACATATTATAACCTTAACTACTATAGTCTACAGTAACATTTCTGTTTTTATCTATCTCAATAATATTATCAAACTCAGCATAAACTATACAGTTAATTGTTTGTATTAATGAGGATTCAAATCGTACTTCTATTCTTACACTACCATGCTTTATGAGATTCCAATGAGTTGATGAGTTAGCTGATAAATCAGGAGTTAAGTCAAATGCTAATAGACAGTAACCTTTGCCATACTGTTCACAAGAGATTCCATTTCCTTCATTAAGAAAGTGAATACCAGTTCCCGAGAATAGAGTATGATATGCTGATGTAAATATGCTATTATTAAAAGATGGTTGCAAAGCTTTTGAAGGTATTTGTTGACCATCAATATATAAGCTGAAAGAATTAATACCATAGTTTTCAAAGTTAAATGGATTTTTAGTAAGGGAACCATTAAATGCAGAATTGTTCACAAATCCAATTATACATCTTTTCGGTACCTGTCCTAAAAATATATTATCAAGAGTTTTTCCTTGAACACCTGAAGGAATTGTTAAAACTTTTACTTCAGCTCGAGTAATAGGATATTTAGCAGTGGTAGAAGCTAAAACTTTTTGATGTGCGAGTAATACACTTGGATTAATTCGTGCTCGTCGCACAATAAGAGTTGCGTCCGTAATGCAAACTTTAAACTTTACATCGTTCGACCCAACAATTAAATTAAAACTCTCTCTTGATCGAACCAATTTAACACTCATTTCAACACCATTAATTAAAAATTTATCTTGGTTAAAAATGTCACCGTGAAGATGACCAATCATTTCTATTTCCTTACTTTCACTAATCAATTCCTGTCTTTTAACAAATCCTATGTTTTTACCATCTGTAGAATCAATTTTTCCTGCTGTATCCTCATACCAAAGACTACAAGTAAGATGAGATTGTTTAGCAGCAGGGGCATAGTTTAAAAGGGTTTCCATGTATGCTCGATATGCATAGGTATTATTAGGTGGTGATACAAGTTTTTGGTTTAAATAAACATCAAGTTGACTAAAAAGTGAATGCAGCCAATTATTTACAGGTGCTACTATTGTAGTAGATACCAAGTTAGTTGAATCTTGATTTAATACTTTTGCCTTTATGTGGAGTAATGTATGAGACAAATCTATGTAGTCATCGCCGGTCCCAGGAACTTGAAACTCGATAGGTCCATCATCACCAAGAGATGAAATTGGTTTATAATGAATCCACAATCCATTTTCAATGCTAGTTTGTGTAGACGGTAGTGCAAACAAATCCAATTCTGACTTAACGCACTCGCAAGAATGATTATGAAGGAAAGACATATTTAGTTTGAAAATATATCTTTGATATTTTTTGGTTTTAGACTAAGTTTTTTCGCAGCTTTCACTTTAGCAGTTAATGGTGGAATGAACGATGTCAATCGTTTTCTTTTAGTTTTATACCCAGATCCAGTCATGTTAAATTGATCAATTTTCTCATCAGCCTTTCGTTTTAAATTCGTACTAACTTGCTTTAGACGATCTTTTATTGAGGCTTCCATAGGACGGGCTTGAACCATATCCGATAAAAGTCCTACTCCAGCGCTTAATGCCTCCTTACCAATCACTCGAGCACCACTTGAAAGTAAAGGTAAAACTGATCTGAATAACCCCCCTAAGAAGCTCCCAATACCATGACCGCGTTGATATGGTGAACCCTTATAAATTACTCCAACTCCTGATCCAGCTTGATGTGTATAATAATTTTCATATGGACATTTATGATGATCACGAAGAGAATTCATTATTATAATTTTCGGAAATGTAGTTTAATACACACGGTTCCAAACTGGAATGGTATTTTTTGTCCTGTACTCGATCTTATAACTATTTCCAACGTATCGAACTCTCTTCGCATAACAGGTAAGTAGTGAGGTTGAGAGAAAACGTGCATTTTATTTGCACCATAAATGTATTTTGTAGGATCTAATGAAATGACTCTTAATAAAGGAGTCATAACATCACCCACAATCTGAGGATCGATAATGTCGCAATATAGAAATAGTTGAGATGGTAACCCTAAGTGTAAATTAGCAGGACACTTTCCAAAATTTCTCTCTAGGAGATTTTTATTTGGTTCATAACCTAGCTGTAAACTTAATTTGGGTGATAATGTTACGGATGTTATATTTTTATCCAATACCGAAATAGACACAAATTTTGTTATTTCATCATAGCGAAATTTCAAGTTCTCTCCGATACCATTTAACACTCTTAAAATATGCTCAACGTTATCATAGTTGGTAGCTGGAATATGTTTTTTGTAGTACACTGTGGATGGCTTATCTTCATTAGGCATTAACATAGATTTTGTAATGTATATAACATTTTCATGGTCTTGAACAGTAAACATGGTACATGGATATTGAAACTCGACAACTCCAACCGACCATTCACCTTCTAATTTTATAGCTTTTGGTAATTTCGTTGAAAAATTTGTGGTCTTGTTATCAGGAAAGTATTCCATTGAACTATTGCTGAGCAAAGTTAAATAGAAACTTTCTTTATTCATATTTCTTTTAAACTAGAAGCTAAAATCCAACTGTTAAATTTATCTGGATAACCTTTCCACTTCACTAATACTTCTTTTCTGTTACTTGAATAACGAGTGTCAATTATTTTATCTATTTTATGTTGTGAGGTGGGGTTGTAAGTGATTTTCTGTAATTCTCTTTCATAAAAAGTACCAATTATTGGTTCATTTTGTAAATCTGTTATTGTATAAACAACCCATGGAGATCTATCAATTATTGAAGATATAATAAATATTTCATCACTCCAATTTGATTCATATCCTTTTTGGAATACATGTTTATATTTAGTTATTCGAACATAATCACCCACATTGAAATTTGGTTTAGGATTTTCTAAAGAAAGTTTTTTTGACCGTCTATCATAAACATTAGTCCAAACTGTCATAATATTGTTGGAATTTACATCACATGGGCACATCTTAATACTAGAGTGAAAGCTGTGATTATAAGAGTATATTAAATCTTGTAAAACATCTATATATCTATAAGTATTATTATGAGTGAAATAACGCCACATTTTCATTTTTAGTGTTCTTTGAAATCGTTCAACAATACTGGCCTTAATGTCAGGATTGTTAGTGGTATAGTAATTAATCTTTTTGGATTTAAAGTATTTTTGTACATCTTTTGAAACAAATTCTGTACCTTTATCGGATTGTATGTGAGTAGGTGTTAAATTACTTTCAGTAAATATACTTTCAAAACATTCTTTAGTTGTTTCTGAGTTTTTTTTTCATTGGTCTTGCAAAAGCATATTTACTAAATACATCAATAATACAAAGTATATACTTGAAACCATCATAATATTGAGAATAAGTTCGCATATCACTTAAATCAGCTTGCCACAGTTCATTAATATTTGATAGAATGTACCTATTACGCGGGAATTTTTTTCGAATGGGTTTATGTAATGTGTATGTTTCTTGTGATTTTAACCATTCCTTTACTTGCTTTTTATTCATTTTACCCTTCATGGCTTTTGATAATTTATCAATACTACCAAAACCAGCGGGATTAGATGGATCATAATAAATCCTGTTAATTTCTTCTAGTACGGAGTCCATTTTTCCCACTCAAGTCCTTTACGTATTTTAGTTGTAGACTTTTTATCTCTACTGCACGGTGTAGAAAACTCTTGAACTTCAATCTCAGAGGGTTTGTTCAGATCTTTTGCTTGAAGTTGGTTAATAAACTCACATCTCCTTGGATTTCCAATATAAGTAAGTGGTACTTTAATATCTTTTAATGCTTCAGCAAATCTAACCCACCCTACCGGATCACTTCTTTTTAGGGGTCTTAGTGAATCATTTATTAAATCAACAATATTACTTCCAGGAATTTTTTCACTATCAATTATGACTGTACCTTCGTTATCCCAATGTATTTTACTTTTACTTGTTTCAACTAAGTTTAATAATAACTGCCCTTTTTTATGATAAGTTTTTGGTATTAAACTGAGTATTTGAGCTGGTGTGTAAAGTGGATTTTCATCATTTTCTTTACTTTTAATGGATCGATTCTCCTCCAGCAAAGATTCAATATCAACTGAAGTTTTTAGATCTCTATCTTTATTTTTAAAACCAATTTTTGACTCATTTGAATCTTCATTAGATGTATCAGAATAAATTGGTAATTTGAGTGGTTGACGATCCTCTTCGGTAAAATGAAGGTATCTTTGCAGTGTTTGTAAATATAATATCCATTTCTTTCGGTCTTCCGTCTTACTATTCATAATATTTTGCATTTCAATATCTAATCGAGATAAATTACTATTAACCTTATTTTCTTGTTTTAATTTTTCAATCAATCCAGGTTCGATAAGTATCATTTTCTTTGCATTTTCCATGTTAACTGGCTAGTCCACTCACTAATCCACTCAATATTGCACCTAATATTGTTGGTAAGAAAGCCCCTCCTTTTTGTATAATTATATTTTTTCTTAGTTTATGTTTACACTTACGTACTAGTTTACGGAGTATGTTTTTATGTTTATTCAATTTTTGTTTATCCTGATCTTTAAGAGGTACTTTTCCTTGTAAAACGTTATGAATACACTCACAAATACAGTTAATTTCTTCTTCATCACACGTTTTAAGTAATGCTCTTTGATATTTTGGTTTAAGCGTATGCAAAGCGGTTAGCAAATGTTTATACGTTGTGAGTCGACGATGCATCATTTAGCAATGATTTCAATTGTTTGATTCTTGGTGTATTTAAACTCTTTTGTGGGGACGTAGACTGTACAGAAACCATTAAATGGAAAGACATTTGTCTTGATACGACAAAAATCATTGGTATTCTGTTTTAAATCTACCATTAAATATCCATGCGCCTCTAGAGTTGCATCCCTGTAGGCATTTTCAATGAATTTTGGGTTATGTGGTGATACTTGTCTTGCTAAATATCTTATTTGAGTTTTATCTCGAGGGTTTTTAAAATATATTATATAACTTGAGTTTAAAGATATGTCTCTTTGTCCTTTACCCTGATGAAATAAATTTTGTGTTAGATAAAATACACTAAGATTCCTGTGATGACTACCTTTTGTAAATATATCCACAATTCTTCCATCGGACTCTCTCATTAGATCATCAATAATAACAAGATGTGGGTTTTCACCATCAAACATATTAAGATTTGGAATTCCTTGATGATAGTTAACATTTGGTAAATTATATAATGGTTGCATTTCATCAAAGCACCATGTGATCTGATTAAAATCACAATTACATATTTCTGTAACTGATTTTATGAAATTTGTTACAAAATTTGACTTCCCACACCCACTTGGTCCTGCCACAATAGCAGTGAACGGATGGATAAAGTGAAACACAACACACGTCTAAAGTTCAAAGGGGTGAAATAAAAAATGAAAGTGTTGGTGTAAACAATTAATATATATTCCAAAAATTATATAAAACAGAATTATCTGTATACTATTTCTAACACAATTAGTACATCATAATTTTACAATTAACTCAACCTCAAATAAATAGAAACAACAATTAGTACATCATAATTTTACAATTAACTCAACCTCAAATAAATAGAAACAACAATTAGTACATCATAATTTTACAATTAACTCAACCTCAAATAAATAGAAACAACAATTAACTTAAATTATTTACAATAAAACAATGTTTAAATATGTAATAAACTACGTCATATTATAGTATTATCATAATTTTACAATCAATATAAATTTTTCTTAAACGCAGACATAAAAGTAAAAACTATCAACACTTAACGCAGTTTATAATGACCCCAAGCTAATGTTTCAATATTATTATCTAAAATATGTCTCTTTGTGTCATTATATGATAAACCTATCTTATTTAATTTTTGTGTGAAAATTGTGTGTTTAATTGATTTAAATCTAAGCATGCTATAATATTGCACTTTTTTATTAAATAGAGAAGACTTATAACTATTCATTGTCATCTTTTTAGTGATACATTTATTTACCCCTTTTGCCTTGGCTATAGTCTTATTCTCTAAGTTAAAAGCGTACATTTTGGATCGTAAACCCACAAATTCTTTCATGATTTTACCATTATTTTCATCTTTAAAAAAACCTAATTTCTTTTTATTTAATTTTGGATATTCAAAAATATTATTTGTATCATAATCTGAGGTATCAAAGTATGATGAAAGGTCAGGTTTTATATCAGTGTAAAAATCATTTGTAAATATATGATATATTAAACTATCCGTATCTGTATACAATAATTTGATTTTACTAAACTTTTTAATCATATAGTTATAATGAAAATCATACATTAATGTTTTTGAAATATCTAAAATGCAAAACCCTAAATAAATTGGTTTGTTATATATTAACTTCGTTTTTCGCAACTGAACCGCAACTAGGTTTTCCGAAAATATTGAAAGGCTATGAAATTGTGGTTTAGCGATTAGATCTTGAGCACCTAAAGCTTTACCCTGGTTCTCCCAGTGCGTAACTAATTTTATGTTAACCCTTTTTTCAATATTCTCCATAGTCTTACCGAAGACTGAATTATTCATTAATTTATAAAAATCTTTTTCGAAATCTGATTTTGCTAAAGTTCTTAATTTTGTGTTTAGATCTATGTACATCTTCAACCAGGGAAACTGTTTAAATTTTAAAACTCTATGAATTTTAGTTAATTTAACCCCCATTTCTATGCACTGCTTTAAATTTCTGTAATGAATTACATATTTATCTTTATTATTTAAATTTGGGACTAGTTTATTCTCATTAATATTGCCTACACAAATGTTTTCTGGACATAAAGGAAAGTCCGAATGTAAATCATGAAGTTCATCTGGATATTCCAAATCAACTTCTAAAATAAAACCGAAGTCTGATGTCTTAGACACATTAAATTCTGTATTTGGATTTACCCATTCGAATTCACCAGTAGGAAGATATTGAGACATAGCCCAACCATATAAATTGTTGGCATCAAAATATGTGATATATGAATTTGGTTTCCCTGTATCATAATCCTCCATGTATTTGTTATTAGCTCTAGCATAACGATTACTACATTGAGATACACCACCTCTGATACCTGATCTAATAAATGCAATTTTCTCATAATCTGTTAAAAGTTCTAATTCTATTTTTGTATATTTTAACATTGCATCCCAACTTAAACCGGGTGCTGTGTAATAATGGGCAGGGTCTAAATCATATGTATTAATACATAACTTTCTAAAGTTTTCAAATACATCGGATAAAAGTAAAACGTCTGTTTTTAAATATAGGTTTGAATAATCTAGCATATTACAACACCCAAAATGTTCCCAAACATCTTTAGCATGATTGTAATCATCATTTGAAATATGTGAATCTGTGAGTGAACTATAAAAACATTTTTGTTCAGGGAGCGATGTTAGACTTAAACTATCATATTTAGTCATAAGTTCATATGGATAAACACCTTTCCGTTTTAAACGAAAGAAATCTTCATCATTAGGGTAATTTCTACGTAATTCTTGAAATTGATCATTACTGAGATTTTTGGCCAATTCTTCTAATTTACACGATAAAAACTTAAATGAATCTAAGAATCTCAATATAATTTCGTGGTTATTCACTTTTAATTTTTTGGAAAAGGATATATATTTTTCTTTATTTTGAGGGATAACTTCGACTTCACCATCACAAAAGTTTAACGCGTGAACAATAAAATGAGCATCATAGTGACTAAGGTTGTGTAAAAATATTGGTATATAACTAGGTGTTCTGATCTTCGAACAACATGATTCATGAGCAACACCTATAAAACTACCAGTGTACCAATCAAAATCATAAAAATGTTTTGCCAACTCAGTTTCACAAATATGACAAATGGTTGCATTTGAAATTTGGTTTTTGTCTTCATTTGTTAGCGGAAGTGGTGGATATTTTTGAAGTCTATTTATTTCTTTTAGATTGTTAGATAAACTTTCCATAAACACTTGTGCACAGTTGGGTCCGCAATATGTTACATATTTTGATAATTTATCATCATATGAACATTTTATATAATATCCAAAACTATGTACTTCATGTTTCTGAATATTATGAGTGAAAGGTTTGGAAGGATCGTTAGAACATGATTCTATTGGTTTTAAAAATGCTTCAAAATCAGCATAAACTACGAATGGTATCTTTAACTTTTTTTCATAACTATCAAATTTAATTTTATCATTTGAAATAGGTTGACCAAACCAATTCTTTTTTTTTTAAAGTTTCACTGTTTGGTAATACTGTACAAATGTGAGCACAATCGTATTGTTCATGGTTATTTAACCTTTCCTGAGATGGAAAACGAAGTAGACATGCTTCACAAATGTACATGATGTGACCGTCTTTTGAAATTTGTTTACTAACTAACCGCGATAAATTTTTTATATAGCAATAATGATTTTTTGTATCCTTGGAAAAAAATAATAAATTGATATGTCTATCTTTACGACACTTTGTTAAAAATAATGGACCTACTATAGAATTACATCGTTTTTCTTTATTATATTCTAACCCAAAAACATTAATACTAATATCATTTAATTTCTCTACTTTTGCTATGTCAGAAATTTTAACCGGAAAGGAAATACCATCAAATTTAAGTTTATTTGCATGTTTAACGTACGATGATACCCGATCGGTGTGTTTGTTTACAGGATATAACGCCGAGAGTAACGCCCATTTAAAACAAAAATAATCCTTGTTTTTTACATTTATAACAGCCTTTTTTAATTTTATGTCACGAGGAAGATCTATGTATGAAGTACCGCGTAGGGGGTTAAATTTATTAACATTCATGTCTATAGATTTTATGTTTTTTAGACTCCATCCACTATCTTTTTTTTCGAAAGCACTAATTTTAGTAGTAATTGTATCATTTAAAGATGAAAGAAAAATATTTAAGTCATCTCCTTGACAAATAATATAGTTAAGCGTTTGAAAATCGAACGTATCATGAATATCTTTAGTTTGTTGAACAAAATCAGCATGCAATATGAAGTTTACCTTAAAAATTATGTGTTGATGAATACACTCTTGTAATAAAAATAAAATATCATCTTTAATAGAATTTAAAAATAGTTCAGGAGTTTCAAAATTTACCCATGTCGAACGATCTACTCTACTCTTGATTTTATAAGTTAAAATCCTATTTCCAAAAGCAGATTCAATAACACTAACGTTTGATAAAGAATTATGTGAATTTAAAAGATTATTTTTATGAACATTACTTTTAAAATGATTAGCTAAATACCGTTTCTTGATAAATATATGGCACGTTGGACATTCCACTTGATCATCGTTACTGATACTGTTCCCTGCAGAGGTATGCGCTTCTGCTTCCGTTGTTGGTTTTTTGATGATCTTGGATTCTTTGCTGCACGTTCGCTTCGTTCCTCTTCCAAGTTGTAGTGGTTGACTGCTAAAATGTTTAAATTTATTAAAAACTGTATAAGACAATATGTAAATTATGATCGAAATGAATGTTTATTTTACATACTTAAACTGTGTTTCAACCATCGCACAGTGATGATACAACTCATCATCGTATGACGAATCGAACAGTTGACCCCTCTCCATTTCTTCACAAACTTTAGACAACTCCTGATTTAATTCGCTATTGAATAGTTCCGTATTCTCTTCCATGATTGTGGAGAAAAAAGCACTGGTGCACACTTCACTGAAGTTTTCCCTTCCTCTTTTTTATTTTTGATTCAGCTTCAAAAAAATGATCAATCGATTGCGATTTTCTTTTTCCACCATCGCATGTGTTATTATTAATGACGAGGTTATCACTCTCTTCTTGAGGGGAGAGTGGCGAGTAGTAATACTGTTTATAGGTATCTTCATCGAAGCTCAATGATTTCTGCAACAACACAGTTATCATGTTAATATCAATTTGTTAACACTTAATCATAAAAGTTAAAAAAGTTAAAGTTACAGCCTATTAAAGTCCACTGCTGAACATAGGCCTCCTCTCATTTCTGAGAGGGTTTTAGAGCAAGGAAATGTCCGCCGCGCTCCCTCAATGTGTGTTGGTGAACTTCACATGCCTTCGAAATTTTCTCAGACATGCAGGTTTCCTCACGATGTTTTCCTTCACCACCAAGCACGTGGTAATAAGCACTTAAAATTGCTATTTACAATTTAATTGGTGCTGGCGGGGATCGAACCCGGGTCGCGTACTGTGAAATTTACAGCTAGCGCTAACCATCTGAGTTACCACGGCTTAATCATATACATACACAATATTTAAATAAAATAATACACACACACATGAAAATAACAGAAAAAAAGTAATTTAGTCAATAGAATAAACACTTACATCCATAGCCTTTGGTGTATTGAAGTAACACAAATGTACTATTGATAGATCCACTGTAGCCAAACGACCGTACACTAACTCGATGACTGCGTTTGTTGGTCTTATATACCACCAGTACGTAAAAATTCTAATCTAAAGTATTTCCGTAATGAGTTGATAATTACTTTATGCGTCAACCAGTTTATCTCACATTTCCGTTGCCTATCTCAACATTTCTTCGTATTGTGTTTTGTTTGGTGATCAATGACTCAAGTACGATTTGTATAACACAAAAATGCAATTTAATATTTAGAAACATATCAGTTTATCTCACATTTCCGTTGCCTATCTCAACATTTCTTCGTATTGTGTTTTGTTTGGTGATCAATGACTCAAGTACGATTTGTATATCACAAAAATGCAATTTAATATGTAGAAATCACTATAATTGACCATTCCTATGTTATTCATTGAGTAGCTAGGTACTGTAATAATCTACTAATAGCAGTAATATCATGGATACACTAGATGTACAACAACATCTGAAAAAGATTCACCCCAGTCTAGAAAATAATGTTTATGCAGCTAATAGACTGCCTATGTATACCCACGTACCAACGTATATAATATGTAATTTGGATACAGATGATAAACCAGGGTCACATTGGGTAGCTTTATATATCGATACGAATGACGTCGGTCAATATTTTGATTCATATGGACGATCACCTGTACGATATCATCTAGAGTTTTTAAAAAGGAATTGTAAAAGATGGAACTGGAATGTTGATAGGATTCAGAATGAGTGGACTTCAGTTTGTGGCGAATATTGCTTAATGTATTTACTATATAAGTTTCAAGGATGTTCAATACATAGTTTTACGAGTATATTTACAAGGAACACATTGTACAACGATATTTTAGTGGATGAGATGTTTCGCTCCTATTTTATAGATAATAATTAATAAGATTTTGTATTTTATAAAAAAAAATTGTAACAAAATTATGTAATGTGTTTTATTGATGATTCAGATTAGCGTTGTATAAACAAAGAATTATAATAAACAATAGCACTGATATAGTCGACGCACACGCTGCAATGAGGGTGATTAATGAACAATAGAACAATAGAAATAGGAACAATGGGACGCTAATGACGGTGGAGGCCCTTACCGGATATCAATTAGATATTAGCTAATTGATCTACACATCTCCGGAACCGTGCATTCTACACAAAAATGGACCGCGGATTCGTGATCAGAGCATGCCAAAACCTTTTTTTTTAGGATCGGGCGTCGACGAACGTCGTTGAACCACGTCTGACCCAGGTGGTCTAGAAGTGGTACAACTACACTACTAACTGGTGCGTTGCTGGTGATGACTTATAGATCGGAGACGTGCTTGATGTATATGCTCATATTATGAAGAAGGTCTCTTCTAAATTCACGTGACGGGCAACTACGGAACCCTATCTCTACATTGTGCGTGGCCCGAAGACACTCGGCCCGTTTTTATCCTTATCCTGCTTTCCGCAGCCGGCTTCCTGCTGCCGTCTTCCGTTCGCCTAGATGACAAAGGATCGTATTCCACTCTCATATTCTGCATACCACTTAGCCGTGTATGAGACCGATTCAAATTCTTTACTATAGTCTATCCAGGTGGCACAGAATTCCTTGTCAGGCACAGTGTCAATGAGTAGTTTCTTGATTCAGAGACTGCCGCCCCGAAATTCAATTTTGGCAAACGTAATAATCTAACTATTATAAGTCAGTGCTTGGCTAATAATAATAATATCCCACCTGATGGTAGGGTTACCACGTAGAAAGTTGAAAAACTCTAACAAATAACCTGATATCCATAGAAAAATATAACTACGCTGTAACTTACAAGCGTGAAAAACATAATTTAAAATTAAAAATTTTGTACAGCCGACTTCAATCTAAGTTATTAAGAATACCTTAAAAACTATGGGTCTAACCTTGATCAAATTTATATGAGACCACACGAGAAGTATCAGCTTTCAAACAAAAAAAGAATCATCGAAATCGGTTCAACCAGTAAAAAGTTATGAGGTAACACACATAAAAAAAACAAAAAAAATACAATCGAATTGAGTATCGTCTCCTTTTTGGAAGTCGGCAGAAAATAATTAATTATTGGTTTTGTGAACCCTCAATCCATGTCGCAGATTCAACTCCTCCCAGGCAAAAACCTAGTGTATTTTATTTAAAAATTCAAAAAGTCTGAGATTGCCAAAATCCAACCGCAATCTTGACTACAGCCGAAAAGTTCTGACATGTCAGGACAAATCCTGACGTATGGTATATCTACCTGGTGGTAAGTATTATGCTGCTCAAGATGGTAAAGAACACTGACTTGAAGATACCCACATTGTAATCGGGCGTATGCCGGTATTTTGTTCCCGCCATTTCTATACGCATTACGAACGACGAAGCAATTCGTTTAATTCGTATGCGGAGTATGTTGACAACAAAACGGTGAGAACTAGCCGAGCGTCTGGTTCAAGATAATTTAAGTCGAGGTGTACACCTCTAAACTAAAAACTAAAATGGAATGACACATTACCATACGAAACGAGGCAGCCAAGGTTTACAAAAGGCAATTTTATGGTTTCCCCCAAATTGATTTTTATTTTTCCCCACAATGATACGTTTTTAAACCAGAAAACCACCAGTTTTGTTACCAATAAAAACAAATATAAAATTAAAGCAGCGTTAAAGGAAGAAAATTTGAATAAATACTTAGTTTTCGATTTTTTTTTAATTTAATCTTCATTAAAAATAACAAGTACTTCATTCACATTCTCTTTTCTCCAGTTTGATAGACATTTTCAAATAAAAGATTAACATTGTAGTGCTTGGCTCAAACTTTATGCAGCCGCCGCGGTCTTGTCACGCACTTCTAACTCTCATGATATGGTATGCGGTTTTCGTGGGCATTCTGTTTCGCAATTTATTTTTGACGATGTTCATCGTCGAAAACGCCCGTTCTATAGCAGCATTAGCAAATAGCAAACTCAAAATAGCCGTGGCAAGTTTATTTAAATTAAAAAAGCTGCGTTTCTACAAGCATTTTTGTATGACAACACTTCTGCCCGAAACTCGTCAGCTGTTTTGGTTTTTTGCCATAGCTGAAGAGGTAGAATTCTCCATTCTTTCAGCGTCGCAGCAACTTTTTCCATTCCTCCAACCACATCCTTGAAAGCAACAATGATTTCTTCAATATTAGGTCTTACTTGGCTTTTCGCGATTTGCGACAAGAAAATTGAATTTTTTTCTAATAATTTAATATTTTTCGGTAATCGTATTTGGATTTCTTCACAATGACGAGTAAGACACTGAGAACACCTTTCTTTGATGAGGTTTAAATCTTGTGTGGGTACATTCGCAGATTCCTCCACAAAGAAATATTCAAAGTGAATGCTCTTAGTATTCATAACGTAGTCTCGGAAATTTAATGTGGCCAACACATTTTGTGTAACTCTCTGTAACCGTTCAGGGGGAATCAAAATCGATAAATAATTAGATAACGGTCCTCTCTCTTCTGACAACAATTTTAGAGAATCTGCATGGTCTGACCGAAAAATTTTGTTCATGTCGGTTATGGCCTTTAACGATTACTTTAAAAACAATAAATGCAGCAACATCAGCGACATAAATAACATCAGCTGTAATTGGGATGCTGTGTAACACCTCTTTCTCTTTGGTTAGCCTGAAGTGAAGTTTTAGCGCATCCCACTGCTCTGGTATTTTTGTGATTGCTTCAATGCGAGCTAGCCACCGTGTGCCCGACAAATGCATCCCTTAAGCGCAAACCGCGTAGGTATGTTCTGCTAGCGCCTAAAAATCAAGATTCCAACGTTTTGTCGTGTGAAATCGTATCTAACAATCATATTGAACGTATAAATTATTTAAAAAGCACATTGTCAGAAAAATAAAAGATTGTTGAACTTATTTTTTTTTTCAATCGAGCAATTGCTATTTTTACATAAAAAGCAGTTTTAGTGGCATAAATGTATATATAGAGTGAGACAAGTCCGCTTAGAGGGGTAAACACGATAACTTTTGCAAATATCAATTGTTCAACTCAATTTATTTTTGAAACTCTTCTTATTTTTTAAGTCATGGAATGTAAATGGCAGTTTAATTTTGTTTTGTTTAGTTATAATTTTTTTTTCGGCTGAATAATAGCGAAATTTTCGGTGTTTTCAGCAGCGTTGTATTAATTTTTTTACTGAATACACTGCCTCACTCCGGGTCACAGTCACAGACCCACAGAGTACTTTTTTACTCAGGGCTCAGCCGTC